GATTGAACGGATAGTGCAGATAGAGAAGAATTATGATGGCTACATTTGAGTAGAAGATAAACTTTCCATCTCTTTCGCATCAAATGTTATTCACATTTTATAGAGAAAAGAATGAAAGTCTTGTATCCGACGAACCATTCAGTAAACGATCTATACTGATGGGATGCTCAGCATATTAATGGATACTTGATTTGAAGTTATGAGCTAACATGATGTTCGAGATCTAAGGAGTTCTACTGATACATCTGTACTGTAAAATAATATTTATTTTTAGAACTCGGAAGAGAGGAACAGTTTAAGTTGGGTCAACGAATGCTATTAAATTATCCTCAAATATTTAATAGAACACCTGATTATTGTTTGAATATCTCGGCTACAACGGCCATACGTACTCAAGAAAGTATGAAATCATTTTTGGTAGGTTTGAAATATAATGCAAATAAATCGACATGTATAAAACCGATATTTACAGCTGCAGTTACCGATGTCTCATTACGATTTTTTGATTTGTCACCTGATTATAAGCGATATGAAACACATTTGAAAAGTATCGATATCAAACAACTAGAGAATCTGGTTCTCTATCATGAACTAAACAAAGATCTATTATACCGTTTTTTCACTAAAATATTTATTAATAAATATTTAAAACATTCGAGAAATATTTCCAAAAATTTCATTGAAGATATTTATAAATATTCCCTGGTTATACCATCATTGTCAAAAGAAATAAAACGTATCGGATTCACAGTAGAAGATTTGAATTTTCGAAAATTTTTTACATGTGATGAGTTGGCAAAATTATTTCTCATTCATTCCGCAAAAGATTTTCTCACAAAAGGTAGAGAGATTGAATTTTGATTGTTGTTTGTTGTTCGCGAAAAAGTATAACGATTATACAGTACTGAACAATCATAATAATTATTTCTTTTTTGTATTATAGGACCTAGTATAAATGTACTCGGTTTACAGATTCGTATTGCCGTCCCATTATTGGTCGATTTTATTAAAACAACTGATGCTTTTATTCTATCTGAAACAAAAATGATCAAAGCTAATCTCCGTTTTGCTCATAGTGAAACATTATCACCATTTGCCACATTAATTCAAATTGAACAAGCATATAATTCTGTAAAAAATATTCAACATTATTCACCGTATACAACATGGTTACCGAGTCAAATTATTCCAATGAGTGCAAATATAGCATGGATATTATACAAAGATATTTATCATCCATTATATCTGGTAAAAATATTATTAAATGAAAAAGTTGTACATCTACATGGTTTAACGACTGTTGTCCAACATTCATACTATAACTGGCTCGATGTTCGACAATATTTCATACATAAATTAGATTTGTTACATGTTCATTTAAATCATGATATGCATAATTATTTAAAAATTGAAATCAATGAAGAATATCAACACGAACATTTTCACTAGTCCATTTACTCAACTTCTTATCATAGTAGAAGATAAATAAAACAAAAAAATATTTGAAGAACAAATGTTTACTGAATTTTCTTTCTTTTGATTTGATACTATGTCAGATAAATTTGACAAAGAGTATAGGGTACTATCTGCTCACATTGTTCTAATACTGTATTCCGCTTTGTGATGCACCAATATTCTTTTCTACATGCGATTATAGAACCTCTTTTCTCAGCTGTAACGTATAAATTTAGACTAGTAATGATTTATATTGATAAATTTATAAATAAAATCAGCAATAATTTTGTATAATAAACAGGATGGTCCTGTTTTTTTTATTTCTTTGTCTTTTCTATTACCAAACACTTTATATTAATTACAGTTGTCTATTTTATATAAACCTGCACCGTATTCACCATATCACGAAATCTCTTACCAATAATATTAAACAAAGTTCATCATGGATTTGGTCAGCATCACTGTTGATTTTATTAAAAGTTTAAATGAATTTCGAATGTTTAAAATCCCTATTATTTTTTCTCCATTTTCTTGGCTTCTACGACACTTTAGTTAAAAAGAGAAAAAGTAAATCATTTCATATAAGTTTTATTCTTTTAGAGCACAAGTGAAAATATTCTGCTATTAAAACTATATTTCAACGTATGAACGTAGTTTTTACAGTCACTGTTTCTAGTCTAAAAGCTCTTCAACGTTTGAAGTTGCATAGTCGATCTGATCGATGTTTTCTGTGGTCATGTTTTGATTTTGATTTTAATATCGGATAGAACTGTAAGTGTGTGACTTCACAAGATTAGTGAAAGATTGATAGAATCAGGGATCCCAAATCTTCTGTTTCTCAGAGTTCTTGATCGACATATCTTGGTCATGTAATCAATTGGTACGACTTCAAGATATTGCTTAAAGATAATAATCTATAAAAGAATTTCTAATCATATTAATCCATAAACCGAAACTGAACAACATAGTTCGTCCTCTTCCCCTTTGTATCTTTCCCGAAGATGTTCAGAAAAGATTAATTCAAGACTCTGGTAAATAGGGCATTGATTTAGATCTTTCTCTCCAGCTTTCATTCTCCTTTTCCACATTCTTTATTTTTAAAAATTATTGTTGTGAGAAATACATTCACGTACACATATTGATGTGTATTCTCTTCTCCCTTTGTTTCCATTTTATTTATCTCTCTTTTTTACTGTCGAGCTATTCTGTAATTTTTGTAATCTGATTTTAGCAAAATGAAAGTCATATTTTCAACTCACTTCGTACACTTAATACGATTTATTTTTCTTGAAAATGTCAAATGTTCTTGTCGAAACGTTGAAATAAATAAATGATATTCAAGATAGATATTGTTACAATTACAATCATTAAGATCAATCAAATTAATACGTGTAAAGCACAATATTTTCTTCCAAACAATTTTCTCCTTTTTATTCTCGATATAGGGTACTGCGATCTCTACTCCGGTCAGAACAGAATTGTTGTTAAACATAGTCAACATCTTATCCATGCAGATTAAAAAAAACATTCATCGAAGGCGCCACAGTATCCCTGAAAAAATAGCGTTCTGAGGAGTCAATTTAAGCTTAAGTCGTCGGCATACTCTATCGCCGAGTATTCGAAATTTTTCGAGTGTTGAGAAGGCTATATTTTGGTTCCTTCACTTACTTACTAGAAGTATGGTGAAGTATAATGACAAGATACTACTGCTGATAAAAAAAGCTCGTCAGCGTTGCCCTTAAAGGTAAAAATGTGAAAACTTTCTTCCTGAATATACGCACAAATATATAATCAGTACTCCTTAGTCTACCTATCGTTTTTACAGTCACTGTTTCTAGTCTAAAAGCTACAACAAATAGGAGAGGAGGGGGTTAATCGAGCAAAAACAGTCATTCGGTTTCCAAAACTCCTTTAAACTTAAAACTTCGTTTTCCCTTCTAATCAAAAAAAGTTCTGAAAAAGTTTTCGCAAAACATTCACGTTTTTCTTAAATCATGAATTTGCCCGACTTATATTTTTCATGGATATTCTTATTGTCGTACGCATAATCACCAAAAGTCGATTCAAGTACAGAAATCCACTATTAATGCCAATAGGTCAAGTAAACAACATATCGTACAAATTCTCTTTATATTGGCATCAGAAATTTTTTAGTATATTTTTTTCGATAGCATGTTTTCAAGTTACTTGTAAAATTTGTTGACTACAGTAGATACTCATAGAATCTCACAAACACGTCAAACTTTCTTCAAAAATATTGAAAATATTTTGATTTTATCATAATTTGAGGATGTTTTTTCTTTACATATTTTGTCCGCATTTCTCTATAAACGTTAACTCTGAAAGATGTACACTATTTTATACATAAACATATAAAATTAAGCAAATATTTATTTATTTATTTATTTATTACTTCTTTTCTTAGTTAGCGAAGGCAACACATTGACATTGACATTAACATTAAGCATTTTTTTTTTATCACACGTTACATATAAAATAAAAACAGAATCATGAACGAAAAACACGAGAGAAAGACAAAAAGAAAGCTCATATAGATGAGTATTAGTTTATTTTAGTATAACTATTGATTTAAAGTATTTTAATATTCAGTAAATAAAATAAATCCCTAAGCGTACAATGACAATGAGATAAAGAGAAAATAAGAGAAGAAAGAAGAAACAAAAATAACGTTCAAGAAATTATTTTTATTTTAGTCTTAGGTTGAACAAATATAAAAAGTTATTAGAATAAAATAATAAAAAATTTTATTTGGCTATGTCAAAAGCAATGAAATGAAAGATTTCGTCTTTTTTTCTAGACACCAAAAAAAAAAACACTTTTTATCAGTGAATTACAGTTAAAAAAAACAAGTCGAGGAGATTATTTTTATACTACTCTTTTTATTCACGATCACTTCACAATAATACTACAAAAAATAATATTAATAAAAACGAAAAAGAAAAAAAGAAAAGAAAAATAATGTTTGTTTAAATCGTATTAATCAATATTTTGATGTAATACATCTTTATTAGGTTTTGGTATCATTGCCAAAATGGGATGTTGAGGAATGGCTGGGTGATAAAATGCATCAACAACAGCAATCTAAATAAACAAGAGAATAATCTAATATAACAATATACTAGAATAATGATTGACAAGTGCATTAAATGGTAGGTAGAAGATAATGAAACTATCACAATACAAGCAATATATAATAACAAATAAATGATAAACAGTTCATTTTTCCTGTGAAAATGAAAAATATAAATTGGATAAAATGGTAACAATTCATTTGTGATAGCTAGTTTATTTAGAAGTGTGAAGTGAAGTAGTCTTATCTATTTTATTCCTTTTATTTAATAGAATAAATTCATTTGCAAGTAAATAGAATATATAATCAATAATATATCAGTTGAATAAGTGTGAAATATTTTAGAATAGATTCGACTATGATTTTTATGAACAAAAAACACATTGAAATCAGTCACTCATTTTTCTCACTCATCTTTAATAGAGTCGAATCAAATATTAAAACGTTTCTCCTATATCCGATTTCAAATGCCTTTACTATACAGTATAAATTGACATAATTGTAGATATATATTTAAAATGATTTTGAAAATTTTTGTTGTAATTTTATCCATAGGCTAATAGAAATTAGCTTCTATCAAGTATACATGCTTCAAGTAGCAAAAAGTCTATTTTCTCTACATCGTGTACAGTTTGTCCTATTTAATTATTAACATTAAACAGATTATTTATCTGTCAAGGATGAGTGCATTGTACCATAAATCAAAACAAAATAGAAAAAATAACATATAATAGAAATCATACAATACCATACCATACCATACTGTACAAATACAACGTTCACTTGACTATTATTATTGCATTGATTATATTTTAAAGCGTTAAATAGGTGTCCAAGTTTGTTCAAGCAGCTTTAGCAAGAAAAGAGTTTCTAGCAAATAAATAAAAGTCTCACACAAACGTACACTCACCACACACACGCGCTTACATATATATAACATGACAAGCATACAGAAAACACATAAATTTGATTAATATCAGGTACTATATATACATATACATCTTCTAAGAGTTAATCAATTATCATAGTTCTATATATAAACAAATACTAGACTATCGAAATCGGAATAAGGAGAAGAAAAAGAAATATACAAGAGTGAAAGAAAGTGCAAGCATGTTTAGAAATAATAAAATAGTCACCTGTTTTATAATGGATATATCTAACCATTAATAATTCATGCATATTTTTTTTTGTAAAAAATAAAACAAAAAAAATCATAAATAATCACATGTCCAAAAAAAAAGAAAAGTTCTTTAGTTTGAGACTAAGAACAATCTTACCATAATATTTACAAATATATATTAAACCATTTCTAAATATGCTCATAAATTCCCTCAGTTTTTTTATCTTGAATTTTGAGATATACATATTTTTCTTCATTATCATTTATACATTTTTTATTCTCATTTTTGTTTCTCTCTACACAAGTGCATTTAGATACAAAAAACAAAAAAAACAAAAACAAAAATAAAGAATAAGAAAAAATGAAAATGAAACGCAATTAATTGCACGAAAAAGATAGAAAACCTTTAATAGTAAACGCATACACGCGCAAACACAACGAAAAACACACAAAAACAAGAGAAAACAACAACACATTTTTTTTTCAGTTTTTAAACTAGACGTTTTTTCATTTATTTTTCTTTTGAACAAAAACTTTCGAAATTACGCACAAAGAAGAAATAAAACAAAGAAAACCCATTGGTACGAGAAAGAGAGTAGAGATATACACAGGAAAGATATTTAAGAAAACATGGTTTTTTGTTTGTTTTAATCATTTAATAGACAGGCTAATTACTAGTTAAACGGACTTGAGAAACAAAACAAAAAATGAAATATATCTGTGCTTTTGTCATGTAAAATGGTCTATTTGTAGAGAAAGAACGAATGTTATCCACGAAAGTAAAAATAGTTTACACTAATTAATCATTTTAAAATATAATGATGCAAAAAATTTTAAAATGATGCTCAAATTTTATATAAATAACTTTTAGTAAAAATATCTGTTGAGCGATTGGCTAAATAGTAACTTTAGTCACAGTGTAAGTGGAAAAGTTAGCGATTTGAAGAATCTATACCGTATCCACAACCAAAACAAATATTTAAACTAAAATTGTCATTATTTCTTCTTTTTCTAGATAATTAAAGAAAAGAAAAAAAAAATGTCGACAGCTATCAAAACCTCTAGTACAATCTCTATCTAAATTAACTAACTATAAGTTGTTAGAATTAATCTGACAATGATTGATTTGTACTTTTAGAAACAATGTCGATCTTAACGGAATACAAATCTGTTATTACATTTTTTATTAGTTTCAAAAAAGGGAAAAATAAAATATTTTCATTCTTCGCACATAATGAATAGATGATATGTTTTCTAAACAAAACTCAAAATACAATATCTTTTTAACCTGTTTATCAGAAAATTTGACAATGTAAAACAATATTTTCTATGAATCTGACAAGAATAATTATCTCAGGTTACAATAATCAAGTTTGTAGCATCCGACATCGAACTGCGTATAAAATAACAAACAGACTAAAATCTTCCACTTCCTAGTTCTTCACACATTCCAATATAGAAACGAGTTAGAATACAGTATTTTTTGAAGAGTAGTGTGTTAACAGATGCATCTAAATCTAAATTAACTTGTCGATTAGTGAAAAATATGTTTCTTGCTCAAATTTTGATTAAAAAAAAGTAGACCAGTTTGTTTCAAGACCACAAACAAAAAGAAATATATGGAGTGTATATGCGGTGCGTAGTCTATTTTACAAGAAAATAAACAAGCAGTTTATCAATTAGCACCGTTGTACATCAAAATAATGTTAAACTCTCTTTCTCTCTTTTCTTTCTTTCTTCGGTGTCTATGTGTATATATGTAGGATAAATTTGACACAAAACAAAAATTCTATAGAAGTAAAAAATGATCCTATCGTATAAAGAAACAAAAAATAAACAAACAAATATCACGCTTTGCAGAATGAAAAAAAACAAACAAAAAACAAAAAACAAAAATGTTGGTTGATAAGCGTTATGCTCACACTTTCACCAATAATTCATTCTTTATCTTATAGTAGTAACACTAACAACAACGATATGACGTGTGAAACAAAAGGCTTCTCTAGTGTGCGCGCGTATTCACTAAATAAAAGAAAAGAAGAAGTATAAAGAGAGCTAGCGCATAATTTTAAATATAGTTATCAAGAAAGGTATGTATATATTTTCTTCTAAAGTTGTGTATCTTCATCATGATATTCATGCTCATTTGTCATTGATGATTTTATTATTGGTTTTCCTTGGCTTGTAGTTGTTGTTAGATGTTCAACACCATGGAGAGAGGATAATTGAGGAACAATTATTGCTGCACGTAATTTATCAATTGTTATATATTCATGTGGTTGATTACGATCAATTGATTCTTGAAAGGCTTTTATCACACGAAGCTAGAGGGAGAGAAAGTAAATAAAATAATAAAAATGGCAAAGAATAAAATTTAAAAAAATGACAATAAGTATCACAACAATAAATACAGACACACACACACACATACATACATACAAGAGAGAAGAGATAGAAAGAAAGAAAAATGAAATAATGAACTACACCATATGTAGAGTGAAATACTAGTAATCTCTCTTTCTCTCTCCCTCTCTCTGTTTCTCTCTCTCTCTCTCTCTCTTTCTATATATATATATATATATATATTATATATGTATTTATAGTTGAGAGTGTTGCATGCATAAAAAGCTTTATATTGACAACATGGCTGATGATAAATCAATAATTAAATAAATATACAATAAGCGAATAAGAAAAGCGAGTATGATAGGATTATGTGCATAGTTATATGTCAATTCATATCGATTTGAAATAACACACACAAAACAAAAATAAATAGTCAAATACATAGCAAATAAAAAAATGATACATTTAGTTAAGCGGGAATATTAACATATAATGACAATAATCCTTTGTCTTTAAAAAAGCATAACACGCACCTATCAATAGATATTAATATATTGATAGAATTATCAATGGTGTTGTACTGTCGTCTTTATGTACTTCTTCATATGATATATGTAGAATTTCAAGAAGATATTTCTTAACAATTATTTCTCTCGAATATTTCTATAATCGTATCAGAGTAGTCGATAAACAGTATGTATTAGATAGATCAAAATTCTAATGAAATTGTAACAGTTTTCTCTACACTACAATATATACGACTAGCAAATTGATTCATCGTAATAAGAAGAATGTAAAAACATTGAATATATTTTGCTTTTCGTCAAACAAGTAGCGATAATATTAAATAATAACTCTAACAATAAACATTTAAATGAAAAAATTGTCAAGTCATTTTTTGTTAAACTCACCATTTTATCAGTGAGAGTTTGAAATTATTTTTTTTTTAACTTTTATTTGTATGTTAGATAGCTCGATAGAAGTCATTATTATATGAATATAAAAGAAATTGTTTTTCTCAAAATTCAGCTACACTTTTTATGCAGAAAACTTAAAAAAATGTTTTCTAATTATTTTTTTATTTTATAAATCGGGCAAGTTGAACATGCTTTCTTTCTTCTCTAATAATAAGTCAACGATAAGTCACTTGAGATTCTAGGAACAATTCAAAAATCTAAATATTTGTTCATTCAAATGCTCTAAAAAATTCAAAATTAGCATTTTTGTACGGTAAATCTCTACATGATTACCCAATTACTGCAAAAAATATAACTAAAAAATATTTAATAACAACCGCAAATATCAAACAATCTAAGGATGTTTATGTGTGTGTATGTGTAAGGCTGAGATTTTGGGGAAAGGGTACACGACAAATGCAGCACATATACAGGACAAATACAGACAAATATAATATGATTACTAGAAGGGCAAAATGAGAGGGAATAAAGGGAAAAATTTAAACAAAAAATATAGATGTGTGTATTTTTCTTTGTCAAATGTTACCACTGTGAAGACGGCGATTTGGCAACGTGCTCTTGAAAGGTTTTGACAACCTGCACCTGAACGAAAATGATAACAAGAGACGAATATATAAATAAGAAAATTTGAATGAAAATGAAAATTTGTTATTTAGACTGAATCATTATCACACCTTTATACAGTGGTTATTGTTAGCCGCAAACAGAATACAATGAAGAAGTCTCAGACATAAAGAGAAATATTCTCTCTATAGTTTTAAATTTAACCATGAATGAGGAAGAAAAAATAAAAAACAAAGAAGAAAAACTAACAAGTTTTGCATGAATTTTGTTTTTTAACTAGCGAGAAATGATATAAATTATCATAGGTTCGAACGCTATGAATTATGCTCTTTTTAGTTTATGTATTTGACGTATCAAATTATGCTAAACTAAAAGTGAGAGAGGAGAGGAGGAGGAAAACTCATCTAAGAGATACGATCTTTTTTTCGAAAATCTAATATTAACTGATAATCTACTTATTTCTGAAATAAAATAATTAATAAAATCTTTAAGTGTGAGTGATAACAACGTTTAAAAAGAGTTTACAACAAAAATGGGAGTACACAGCAGTAAGAAAGAATTACAGTTGATCTCATATCGAAGCGACAATTATTAAGGCAAAAAAGAGAAGAATGAATTAGTTCACAATGTCAATAAAAGCACAAAGTAAGATGAAAAGAAAAAAAAAATGACGAGAACAAAAAGCGAGTATGCGCGTACTCTTGAAAAAGTACTCCAGCTAATAAAAAGAAGACTCATTGAATTAATGTTAATAGTGCACATGCTTGTCGATAACAGTCTGAATCTTATACTACGCTAGGATAAGGGAGCGAATAGTATCTACTATTTTTTGTCTATCAGTATCAGAGATGTCTTGATCCATCCCACTATGGATGGAAATCAAAAACATTTTCAGCAAACATAATATTTTTCAAATTTTTATTAAAAAAGATAAAAAAAAAAATTTTTTGAAATAATTAGATCACCTCTTTTAAGTCGCAACATCCCTGATCTCATGCTATATCATTATTAGCTTCAATTAGTTTTAATTTTATTATCTCGTTCTCTGTCTAGCACATATTGAACATGCAGTTAGAAAAAAATTAAATAATTCCACCTCGTTGAGAAATGAAAAAATGCAAAAAGCTGACAGTAAATAATGTAAATTACATACCTGAGTTTGCAATCTTGTTATTCCTCTAAGCCACAACATTTGTCCTTTAGTTAAGCCAGCGGCGACTGTACGCTGATCTTGTAAATTCGAAGGATCGCCTAAATTTGGCACACCGGCACCCAAATTTGGCATATGTTGTGTGTCAGGGATTATATTGACGATCTGAATTTACACAACAGCCAAGTCGAAAATGTTTCTTATAGCAGAGTTTTGGACTCAATTTCTTTTTTACTATAATATCACTAATACATACTTGATTCCATAGTAAAGTTCCCACTCCAAATAGAAAACACCACATCCATTGTTCTATGCTTAATCCTGTACAAGAGAATGCTATTGATCCAAATTCAACGAGTATAATTTGAACAACAAATGTTACTATCCAAATTATATAGAATATTGGATTTGTAAAGATTCCTCGAAATACATTTTTTTCACCATGAATTTTCCTACAATTAATTTCATTGAATAATGTCATTAGCACAAAAACATTAAATATCATTGTGAAATGTTGAGATGGTCTGAAAACACCATCGACTGGACCACCATCCTCCATATTAAATACACTTGGACCTGAATAACAAAAGAAACAAAAATGTCTATAAAAATATTCAATAGTTTTCTGTAATCGTAGAGAGTGTACATACCGGCAAAGAGTATAAATAACATAACGGCTAATTGATAAAGAGCATGTCCAAGAATATTTTTCATCATTGTTCGAGATATTAATGCTGTTGTTCTTCCATACGGTTTTCTCGTTAATAAATCTTCGGTTGGAACTTCTGTAGCTAATGCTAGAGAAGCTAATGTGTCCATAATTAAATTAACCCATAACATTTGTACGGCTCTTAATGGAGATTCTTTAACAATACATGCACCAATAAATGCACAAAATACGGCGACGACATTAACGGTCAATTGAAATTGTAAAAATTTAGCTATTGAATCATATACATTTCGTCCCCACATTACGGCTTTGACAATGGAATTGAAATTATCATCGACTAATATAATATCTGATGCTTCTTTCGCCACATCTGTACCTTGAATACCCTACAAAAGATTTGTAATGGTAAACATCATCATGCAATGTCATTTTGTATGATTAGTTTATGAAAATATTAGTTTGATCTCTATGTTATACAGAATTACAATATAGAAATAATTATTTACGCACCATAGCAAATCCAACATCGGCTACTTTCAATGCTGGTCCATCATTTGTTCCATCTCCCGTTACAGCAACAACTTCTCGCGATGGATTTAATTTTGATGCAATTATCCCACTCACAAGAACATATTTATCTTCTGGCGATGATCGTGCTAATACACGTAATTGTGGCCATACTTTATCAAAAAGTTCTTGCTTGACCTGCATAAAAAAAGTAGAGATAGTTTTATAGATAAACAGTACTAGAGAGATAGTTATACACACCACTCCATCTTGTGTAATTCGTCTGTTGAATTCTTTTCCATCCAAAACTAAGAAATCATCATTGGTTGAGATAATACCACATGATACTGCTATTGATCGAGCTGTATCCACATTGTCTCCTGTAACCATACGCACAGTTATACCAGCATTTTTACATTTAGCAATGGCTCCTTTTACCTAGAAACGAAACAAATAAAAGAAAAGTAAAATATTAAATACAATAGTTTTCATATAAACTCTTTTTAAATTATTATACAGTTTATGGAATGTATTTGAATAAACCTTACTTCTGGTCTGACTGGATCCTGAATTCCACAAATACAAACACACGTTAAGCCTTCCACCACATTTTTCTCATCATCCCAATCAGGTAATGCCCCTTCAATAGAGAAACAAGATCGCAGTTGATATGAGTAGAAGTAAAATAAAATAGTTTCCTACCCTCTTGATAATCTTTGAATGCAATACAGATTGTTCTTAGTCCATCACATGCCATTGGTTCAATAGCGGTTTGAACAAGACGATCATAGTCAACCGTTGAAAATGGTACTGGTTCACCGTTACGATTTAAAATATATTTACATCTAAAATGCGTAACAAAACATTATACAATGATAATACTATAATAAGCAATTATCAAATATTTTAACTTTAATCAGATCTTTTTTTATTCCAAATAAATGGATAATAGAAATTTTTATACATTTATGATACTGTGCTCAATACTCATTCACTTTCATCGAACCTGTTATGATTATTACTTAGGGTATACCAAAAGTAATGACGCCAGTATCTTATTCCTTACAAGAATGCCTCAACAAATTTTCTCTTTTCATGTGGTCGTAGAGGAGAAGATGCTTTATTTTTCTGTACTATTTGATCACTGTTCAACTAATATCATAATAATAAATTTTGATCAAAAGTGCTTTTGTGTACGCCTTTACTAAGATTTCAGA